ATAGGGGATATGATCTCCCCTGACTGCTAGGCAGGTTTCACAGCGTCTGCCTATGCTGAGAATGAGGGTGTCAATGAGTTGTTAAGGCATTGCTGCCCATTCGTCTTGAAGCGCCAATCGAAGCTCCGGAATCGTTACTGGTGGTAAAGTACGAGCTGCCAAGCGTCTGCCTAGAAAATCCCATACATGCTCGATGGGATTGAGATCCGGAGATGGTGCTGGCCAATCCATACGTTCAATATCCTCACTCTCTAAGAGCTGTTCGGCAGCTACTGTGCGATGACATCGTGCATTGTCGTCCATGAAAAGGAACTGCGGACCCACAGCGCCACTAAAAAGACGCACATATGGAAGAAGAATCTCGTTACAATAACGGGTCCCGTTGACTGAACCTGCGTCGAAGATGTGAAGGTCTGTACGACTACCAAGCATGATGCCTCCCCAAACGAGAACACCGCCACCTCCATACCTGTCCCTTTCAATGATGTTCGAGGGGATGATTGCGGCTTCCCCGCTCTCTCTCCAGATGAGTGTGCGATGAGAATCTCTACTCAGACTGAATAATGCTCTCATCTGTAAACAGTACTCGTCTCCATTCATTGTCTCTCCAATTCCGGTGTTCCCGGCACCACAGAGAACGCCTTCTCCGATGGGCAGGCGTTAGAGGCACACACCGTACAGGGCGTCGTGCAAACAGACCACCACCGTCTTCTGGCCATAGTAAAATGCGATATCGGTTGTCCAGTCACCTGTGTCGTGTGTCTAGCAATTTCTCCTGCTGTCTGCCGCCTGCTTCTTCTGGCCTGTAAGGCAATATACCGGTCATCTGCGGGTGTGGTTCCTCGTAGACGACCACTACTAAACCCCCGGATAGCTGTTCCTGTAGTTTGAAATTGTCTCCAAAGTCGTGAAACGATGCTGTGACCAATTCCGAACTCTGCAGCCATACTTGTCACACTGCGGCCTTCCTCCAACTTCCCAATGATTCGACCTCGGGTAAAAGCATCCAGATTTCGTCTAACAGATTGATTATTCGCCATTTCTCGCTGAGGCAGCAACTCGGTGTGATTTTAACTGCTATACGGCGTGTAATCTCTTTGCCAGAAATACTGATCTTACACCGACAACATGTTTTATACTACTCAGACACTCCCCCATTACGTCTACCTGCATATCTGCGCATATGCTACCGTACATCACCTTACTTAATCTCCTGATTGGTCTTTCTGTCCGCTCTGCCTCTTCATTCAGCTGATATGCTAATTTTTTGACTTCGTCCTTAATTTTTGCACACCAGTGTACTCGGTATCCATGTGCACATCGACCTATTTTCACTTTAAAAAAAATCCCAGAATTGCACAAAAATGGGACTGCGCACCTTGACTTTATCTATGTACACATCGACCTATTTTCATTTAAAAAGTAAAATAACACTGACAAAAATCTAATTGTTTTTACCCTTGTAAAAAGTGGCAAACAAATAAGTGAGCGATTCTGAATATTTTCAAAGAAAAGGCATCATTCATTATAGAAAATTACGTTTGAACAACCAACGAGATGAAATTATACTTTAGCGATATGTCAGTAGCGAAATAGCGATGCAGGCATCCATTCAGTCATGTTTAGCAATTTTTATATAAATTATAATAATAAAAAGTATTATACAAAATTAACCTTTCATCTAAATTAAAACATCAATCTTACATAGTTATTCACTATTATACTTCCTTTCTTGCCGCAATTATTAGGGTTGCCGCAATTATTTTTGGCAGCATTGGCATCAAACAATACTTTGGCAATACCTTTTTTACGGCTCTCGAAACAGAATAGTACCCAATTTTCATATTGCGTCTTCAATGATTCACACTGGAGCATCCTCATGTCTACTTAAGAATTAGCTACGAAAGGCTTAAAAATAAACATTTCATCTTGCAGAAAGGAACTATTTGGTTTTGGAAATCGAAACTGTCCGATAAAAAGTCTTGGTGCAGCATTTGTGGATTTAAAAATTGATGACGTAGTGGCAAAAGATATTCCAGTATTAAATGTGCCAGATTCGGCTCAGCCAGTTGACTTAATTGGTTGGACGAACGTCCTTAGATTTGCCACATATTGCATATGCTAGAGCTGGTGATGCCTTGCATACCGGCTATGGAAAAAATTATCCATTTATTGGATTAGATTGCATTGAAGAAAATTCATGTATTAAATTAAAATCAGATGAAACAACGAAAATAATTAATAACAGTGCAAATTTTGTAAAAACTGAAAAACAAGTATTCTATCCTGCGACAAAGTATGAAGTTGATTATACTAATAAAAATTACGTTCGAAGCAAATGTAACAAGTACAGAGATTTACACCGTTGCATTGTGGGCAAGATTGGGATGTGGAATATGATGATCACTTTAATGTTAAAAACAAAGCTGATTGTCCAAAACACTTGCATAGAAAAATACCAAATATAAAGAGAAAGCGATTTCCAAACCAAAATGGTATAGCAGACAGCACCGGTTGGGAATCTGGTTATGGTCTTGAATATGACAAAGTTGAAGATGATGTGCCATAAACAGGCCTGAAGGAAATTTTGTAACAAGGAGAGGCTACCGTTTGTATGGAATGCGCAAAAATAATTCAGATATGAAAGAAGAATATGAAAAAAGGTCTTCTAATAAAGCAGGTTTAAGCTGTATGGATGGAAGAAAATGACCAGAAAGGAAATCTGAGGAATTTGCAAGTGAAACAATTAGGAAGCCAGAAGAATTTGTAGGTAAAACTGGATATTATGGTCCAGTTTGGCACATTTAAAAAAAATTGTCAAGTCTCCAAATCGGTTGTTTTCGCATGTTTTAGAAAATCGCTAACTCATCATATCGCCATATTAGATGGTTGAGAATTTGAATTAATTCTGTAAACAAGCAAAAAATAGATCATGTAAACATGCAAAAATATCTAAACCTGTAAACACGCAAAAATATCTAAAACAGGATTTCAAGAAAAACAAAAAGGGGGGAAGTGCAGAATCACCCACTGCTTGGCACATTTTTAAGAATTGCACATACTCGGTATCCATGTACACATCGACCGATTTTCACTTAAAAAAAAATCAGAGTTGCACAAAAATGGCATTGCGCACTCCCTTGACTTTTATCCATGTACACATCGACCTATTTTCATTAAAAAAGTCAAAGAAAATTGACAGAAATCCAATTCTTCTTACTCTTGCAAACGCCAAACAAATAATTGGGCAATTCCGCACTTTACCTAAAGCATTTGAAAGTTAATAACTATATATTTTATAGGATCAACAATATTAAAAGTTTTCATATCATATACCATTTTTAAGGCAGTAGCAAAATGAAGTAAAGCGTTTTATCACAAAATTTAAGAAATTGTAATAAGCAGTAAATGAGCAATAAATGATCAGAACGCATTGATTCGTATTTAAGCCAAGAGGTTACCAGATTTGGAGCGATTTTGCTTCACTTGGCGATTGGACCGTAATCTCCAGTCTAGCCTAATTTGTGTATTCAGCCTAAACGATGAGCGAAGATAAGTCCCTGCAAATGTCATCTTATTCGGAAACCAAGCACCGAGAAATAGAACATCAAATGCCAAGGAGAAGTCATATTACTCAAACTGAGAATGAAGAAAGAATACTTAAAATTTGTACCTCATTAATGCATAAAGAAGTAAAAGAGCGGATGGCAAATAAGATGAAGAAGTACTACTATAAAAAGAAGAAAAAAAAAAAAAGAGCGTGGTAGACTGTATATAACAACCCACATAAGTCAGCTGAAGTCTTGGCATGCTAATAATCTAGATGAGTTGGATGAAGAGTAACCAGCTAACTCGGATATTAACTCGTAAAGCAACAGGTAATGTAAACTTTTACTTTTTTTTGTCCCGAACCTACAAAGAACTTCACTGGATAAACTTCATTAAGGTTTATTTTAGAACTTTTGTTATAGAACTTTTTACTTCTTCTAGAACTTTAAATTATGATTATACTGTACACAGAAATTTAGATTCTTATGGTATTGACAACAAGAAAACAAAAAAAAAAGCAACAATTGAGGGCATTTGTTTAGTCAGGATGCCCGAATGTTAGCAATTTCCGCAGTCTACTGCCAGAGGGCGTCATGTTATTAAAAGATATTCAAGACATTTGTAATAATAAAAACAAGACAAAGAATGTAACCATGGCAATAATGATATTAATTACTCATGCAACTTTTTAAAATACTAGTAGAATAGAGTATTTTTGATGATGTTGGTTGTGAATTTATGTCCTGATAAATAATGTAAAAACAAAACGATATACCTAGTGTACATATATATAAATGTAAAGACTGAAATCCTGAAGCCAACACTAGTGACTGGACTGCAAGAAAAAGGGACAGTGGACAGACTTTCAACCCTCACCACTACTACTTTGTGCTTGTGATACAAGAAGATATTTGCACATTCACTAAGCACAGATATAAAACCTGTCTTTATCATCAGATTCTTGAGACCATGTCTAGATAAACTTGAACTTAGGACCAATTTACGACTTTTTTTGTGAAAAGGGAACATTACAAAAAGGTCCTTAAGTACTCAATAAAGGAGGTGCTAAAAAATTTCCCATTGCCAGTTTTAGCATGGAATGCTTGGTGCCCCTAAACCAAAACCAGCAGACAGAAAAAATGAAGAAAAAACTGCCATAAATATAGGTGGAGGCAGGAAAATTTTTTTAGTGCTTAGGGTTTCTAAACGTCTTAACCTGACCTTACACTAGACTAAATATTCAGATGCATAATCAAAGAAAACTAATCTGAGAAATTTCAGAGGCTAGGCATTTTTGTGCAAAGTCCATTTCTGGAATTCAGGAAGATTGAAAACTGTGCGAGTAACTGAGAAGCTACTAAATTATGCATAAAAAGCTAGCTCAAACTACAAAGAACAGATAAAATATCAAAAATTAACATAATACATAAAAAATTAATAATGCTATTTACCTCTTCTATTTCCACCTTTTTGTTTTGCTTTGTTTTCTTCTTGGATTTTGCTTGCTTGTTATTATTTTCAGCATTTACTTTTGGGTAATGCTGTCTTATGTATTCCATAACTTGCTTTACATGACACTGTTGAAGTAATTTGTTTAAACGGTTATCTTTCAAAGGATTTCCTTTCAAATTCAGTTCCTTTATCTTGGTGCAGCTACCTAGTTCACCTGGTAGAGTAACTAGTGCATTTTCTCCTAAATCCAAAACTTTTAAACTGCTCAAATGCTCTATTTCTGGTGGTATTGCAGAAATATCATTATTATTGGCTAACAAATCGGTAAAATGTTTTAATTTTGCATCACATATGTTGACAGGAAATACAGAAAAATTATTGTAACTAATGTTTAAAGTTACCAGATTTGACTTTTCATTCAGAGTTGGAAGGCTTGATAGCTTGTTGGTGCTCACATTTAAGGACTGTAGATCTGTTAATTCACATAACTGCGACGGCAATTCAGCTATTTTGTTATGAGACACATCTAAATACTTTAGTTTCTTAAGCTTACCAATTTCAGGAGGCAAGGCTATCAATGCATTACTACAGACAACCATTCTTGTTAAATTTACTAATTCGCCCACATCACTGGGTAAGTCCTTTAAACTTGTTTTGCTTATTTCTAAGAAGTTCAGATGTTTTATCTGAAATATGCCGGGGTCCAAGCCACCTTTTAAAATTAGTTTATCATAAAAAGGGCCAGATAAAACTAATTCGCATCGTTTCTCCTTCTGTGCTTGTGTAACTTCAGCCCAAGAATTAGACATGACAAAATGCTTCGCAAAAACACCAGCTATGTCGTATGCACGGCGAAACACTTTTTTTTCTTTCTTCTAAAGGCTGATTAACTTCAGTTAACTTCAGAGCGTGCTGTTGCGTGCACATAGTAGTTTATCATCTTATTAGTTATTATTTGATTGAATAAAAACAATTTTAATCATTAACTCAATTTTTTAAAAGTTTTCGTTCCCAATATTTCAGTTCATTTCTCTAAAAGTCATTTATTTCAAAACATTTGCATACTTTCTATAAAACTTGAATAGAATTATTATTTGTAACTTTTTTAATATATTTTCTTTTTTTAATATAATATGACAGATATTTGGAATGCAAGGAAGGTTATTGTATTATAAGAATGGATCTGCCATAGCAGCTCTATTTAATTGCGCAATACAATAACTTAAAAAGTGTCTTGCACAAGTGAGAAGTTCCAAAGTACAATTTAGTTCCAAGTAGTATTTTGTCGTACGATACCGAAAGGGGTTTATAGCATCTATATTAATAATGTTCGCCGGAAAGATGCTACATCGGCGGATGTTAATATATCTGCCCCACTCTTCTTTCTGCACTAGGTATTATTCACTGTTCACTAGTTTATTATTAACGGTGTCAGAGCTCAAATTGCGCCGGAGCCCACTCCACCGGAGGTTCACTCCGGTACTTCTTGGTTTTGGGAGATAAATCTTCTAGACTGAGCGCAACAAAGCTCTCTTCTATGTAACTGAACAACAATTTCAGTAGAAATCTGATCTCGAAAATTTTATTTTTAGCAATAAAATTATATGAAAAATCGCTTATTAAATTTTAATTTATCTCTGTACATTTTATTTCATTTGAATTTTAATCATCCAATTACTTTAATTATTTAATTATTTTAATAAATAATAATTAATTGAACAGTAATTATGAATTAAATAACAATAAAAATACGGATTATTAATATTAATTTAATAATTATTCATTAATCTGGTAATCATTAACTATTTAGTTTTTAAATTATTAATGGACTTAATGCCCATTTTATTTATTTATTTACTCTTGTTTCTCTTTCCTGATGCCCACCAGCAGCCGAGCGGTAAAGTCGCTGAACACTGGTAGCTTGGTCCGAGGTTCGAATCCCGCGAACGGGCTCGCTGCATGGGCATTTTCATGGTTTTCCCCATTTGTATCGTGTATACGAGCCAGTTTCCCTTAGAAAGCCCTCCACAAAGGCATCGCTGCCCTTAGGCAGATAGCTCTCGAGGCTTTGCCGTAATTAAATAACCTAACCTCTTTCCTGATGGTCTTATCTAGGTCTCCGCCACTTCTAATTTATAGAAATTAAGCCCTGAACAGTATCCAGAGTACTTTCTGCATTATCAAGAACTTCAATTATTTTCAACATTGATTAAATTTTCTTTGACTGCACAGAGAAAGAAATGAAGAATTTAGAGATAGTAATTTGTAAAATGTATATACGGATTGTTCACATGACATATTTTAGATTATACAAATTTATCAAATGCTGTAAGGTATGAAAATTAATCTGATGTGTCTTGATATTAGATTTTAAAAGTTTTCGAAGTCGTTTTGAAAAGAAATCCATCACTTTTCTGTGATGTTTTACTAGAGAGGGATGATAATTAATATAAGACACATAAAATTGTAGAATATTAATGCTAAATACTTAGCTGTTTAACCTAATAGGTTTTGATATAAGATTTAAAAGTTTTAGAATTTAGAAGTGAGTTTGAAAAAAATCCATCACCTTTTCTCTTGGCATTTTAGTAGAGAAGGATGATAATTAAAGTAAAACACATAAAATTGTTGAATGTTAATGCTAAGTATTTAATCTATATATATATAAGGTGACAAGATTTTAATATTGGTAAAGCGGGACACCATTGACCGGGGGTAATTAAACATTTGGTCTATACAGAGCAACACAAATTTTCATAGAACGAAAAATAGTACTAGTAATATATTTTTAAGATTTCAACACAAGTACCATTTACAAATACATTAAAATAAATTATGTATAGTATTATTTTATTTTTTGGCATATTTCTCGTTTAAGTGAATTTTGTTTAGTAGATTGCTGGTCGTTGTTTGAAAGGTCATAAAATTTTTCACAAGAATTTCTTAAATTATATTTCACACATAAAATGTCTTTCAAAGTCTCAACACTTAATTGTGATTTTTCTAATGTCCACACTTTATTTTTACCGTAAAAAAAAAAGCACTCAGTCACAGCATTAGTTCTTGGGGTATTCCACAGTTTTTAGTGTATTATTGTATGGAACATGGTTTGTTTCAAAATGATGAAATTTTTCTAACGGTTTGTTCTCTATTGTGATTTTTGCTGATGTCCAAGATTTAACTTTTTCCTTATCAATATATTTTTTAATAATGATGTCTAATTAAAAAGATCATTTTCAAAAATATTACTATATGGGAAATTTTGAGTAATATGATCGAATGATTTTTGCACATTCCAGTTAAGGTCTCGTTTTAATATATTCCCTAGCTTGTCGTGTATTCTTACTAAAAATCGGGACTTTTTTAAAAAGCCACGGGACGCGGGACAACTGTTAAAAATCGGGACTGTCCCGCCGAAATCGGGACGTCTGGTCACATTAGTATATATATGTTCTATGCAGAATTTTATTTTACTTTACTAGTGCTTTTGATTATAAAAACATCAAAATTATTTTAAGAGTAAAGGATTCTGTAATTAAATATTCAATGACATCAGTGAAGTATACTGCAAATGCTGCAAAAAACATTAATGTAACGAAATTCTTTTAGTAAAAATTAAGCAAAATCAATAGCTGTTATTTAATAATTTCATTTACTCTGATGTTAGTCTCTTTCATGCAGTGAGTCTTTTAATTTGAAAATTTGAGATTAAATTTACTAATTATCATAATAAAACTTGGAGCTGGCATGTGTTTCTTGCAAAAATTCAAGTTTTCCAAAAATTTAAGGAATTTTTCCCCTCTGATATTTGCAAATAATTCTAAGAGTTTCAAACTGTGTACTGATATTTTTGTTCTGATTGAGCTGAATGTGCTTGAAATAATGAATCTTTAATTATCTTGAATATTATAAAATTTACTGGTTTCAGTACTCTTCTGTTATCAGAATTGGATTCAGAAATATATGTATGCATGTGTGCATATGTGTGCGCACACACACACATACATACGTACGTGCATATATACATGCATACATGAACACATACATACATACATTTCTGAATCTGGTCCCGATAACAGAAGAGTACCCTGTTTTCTCCTACCATGAAGTTTTTAATAATTTTCCCCCTTTCTTGTTTAGTTTCAAAATGTTCTTTCCAAAAATATATACAAGAACTGGAGATAAAGGTTAGTACAAGTTGCAAGCTTATTGCCACAAGTATATTTGCCAAATTTTATATGCAGTGTGTGTATGATCCATAGTTTCAAATTTAGACACTGTTTTCTTGTAGTTCATGTTTTGTAATGCTTATGTAAATTGTAATTAAAGCTATGAATCAATGTTTAGTAATTTTGCAAGTGCTAAGGAGGTACATCATACAGTATACTGGTATCCTTTGATTTTTGTCATTTATGTTTCATTTCTTTTTTAAATAAAATCCTTTGATTTTTGCATTTATTTCTCCTTTCTTTTATTAAATAAAATCATATAGCAGTTTCATGTGATATAATCCTCTATAAAATAAAATAGATGGATAGGAAGGAGTTTTTATTTTTGAGATAACTTTCTTTAAAACATTATGCTTAAATGCATGAATTGCATACTTTGCCATTATTAGGTATTTAGATGTATTCATTTATACTATATCTTATATCAGTGGTGTCTTCCTTATAATATATACTATAAGAATGAGGAGAAAATAGGTATGAATTTAACATTATATATATATGTACAGAATAATACATTTGAATATTAAAAGGAAAATATAAGTTGCATTTGTTTATAGCTTAGAAATGAGTTAGTCATAAACCATAGGAAAAAAATAGGAAAATTCAAAAGAAAAGAAAACTTTCATTTGATGTGGATTTTGAAAAGACTCCTTTGGTTTATATACCCTATTAACTTACTATCATAATCAAGAGTCTTATTTAAAATCTGTATCAAAATAAAGTTGCTTTATTGGCAAATCTTAAATTTTACACTGCTTTCTTTCTCTTAGGAAGGAGATATTTGGGCTTGTATTGTTAACTGAAACTCAAAGGCCAACTGTAGGAATTTTTTATGAATGAACCATTTTGATTTGAATATTTGCATATACTATTATTATTATTTATTTATAACATATTGAGATTATCTGCTTCTAAAATACTATTAAACATATTTTACATTTTACTGAAAGGAAAATCTTCAACTTTCACTGGAGAGCGACGAAATAAAGATGATGATATTTTTGAAGCATTAGGCTCAACTGATGAGCTGACGAGTGCCATTGGGTTTGCCAGAGAATTTTTACCAGAATCTTGTGATAATATCAACAAAGAACTTCAAGAGGTTCTTAATGTTTTTTTTTTTAATTTATAATTTTTGATTTGATTTGCTTATAATGTTTGCTTTGACTTACTTTATAATTTTTGCTTTGATTTATTGAATTTTTATACCATAAAAATAATTTGCTGTATTTTAAATAGAAAAGCCTAAAAGACCTTTAGTTCTTTTGTTATTTTTGGTTTAGTTTATGTTTTGTTTAATTTGTACCCTATTAAAATTATGTGTTTTCTCTTTTTCCCCCTCCCAGATACAATGCATACTACAAGACCTTGCTGCAGCTATTGCTACTCCTAAAAGTTCTAGCAAAGAGCGTCATAGAGGTTGTCAACGTAATTTTTTAAAATGCATTCTTAAGCACTGATTTAAAACAGTGTGCTTTCATACATTTCCTTTATAGTGTAGCTTTATTATTCCTTCTGAAGCTCAATATCAGGCCAGATGTTTAGTATTATTAAATATCTCTTTAATTTAGATAAAAATTTTATTTAGTAATCAAGAAATAAATGGCTTATTGCTAAATATTTTTAATAAAATTTGTTTTATTCGAGTAAAGTTCTTAGTGATAAGATTTGGAGCATTTGAAGTGTGCTTCCATTTGTATTAATATTTTAAGAAATTATTGAATTTCTTAATAATATATGAAGTGGATTGAAATTAATTTTATACTTAAACCTCTAGAAGAGAAAAAGTTTGCATAATGTTATAAATGTTTCATTAATGTTGGCTTCCATATTGCAGTTTAGAAAGCGTCATGTATTTATTTCTGGTCTTTGCATGAAATTTTTCATAACCTCCGAGTTTATAAATGTCTGTTATTTTGCTTTCATATTCATTTTCTGAAACAGAGAAGTGTTCCCTAAGTATATATTTCTACCTTGCAGCCCAGACAATGCTGTTTCATTTTGAGCTAATTCATATTTTGCTATTAATGTGTGATAAATAAGAAGTGTGTGTGAATGTCAGTTGTGCAACTAGAATTTTTTAAGGTTAATTGGAGAAGTATTTTTTCATGAGACTCTATTTAATGATTGAATATTTTAATATAATTTGCTGTATTAGAAATAATCAAAATTTCAGTTAATACTGAAAACTTCATAAGTTTTATTCTGATTTAAATTCAGATTTTATGAAAGTAAGAGGGTAAAAAATCCTTTATGTGATGACCAAAATTAAAATTACATATTGGGTAATTGTGATGTAAATTTGGTTACTACCAGCTTCAAGTATGAAGGCACACAGTATTATTATCCTGATGAGAAATGTAAAAGTATTAAGTGTATAAGGTTGTACTATTGGGTAATCAATCAAATTTGTTTAACCTTTCCTGCAACTACACCAACTCTGTGAATAACCTCTATATTTGACAGGATGGCCGATCAGTGTCTACAGAAAAGCCTCAGAAGAGGGACTCAGAAAATCATTTGCATCTTTCAGACCCCAAGGCTGACCTACGTACCAGGTGCTTGTCAAACCATGGGTCTCGGAGACCATCAAGGGAGAAGGCAAACTGTAGACTCCAAGTTTCGGACTGTCACACTAGCCCACTCGGTTGGCGTAAGCCACAACCATCCGTGAAGCATAGGCCGCCCTTTCTGGCCATAGGAATCGCATTCATATTATTGTGCTCCCCAGAACCGCTGCTGTTATAATGAAGCACTAAGGCATTGTGTGCAATCCCCGGGGGGGGGGGGGGGGAATCTCCAGCTTTTTCATCTATTGGCATGATGGAAAATACAGAGATAACAAAAAGAACAATTAGAGCGAGTTCTTGGAAGCTTGTGCAACAGAAGAAAGGTGTTTTCAGTTTTTGGAGTTGTGGAGGAGAGAACCAGCTGTGTGCATAAAAGGATGGAGGAATTGTACTGAGGATACCTATATATCATTTCAACAGTATACCTGCACCCCTTAAAAAGATACTCATTGACAAAAACATACATAGACAGTAAGACGAGACAGACAAAAAAATCTCCATCAGTATTAATGAAAAATCTTCTTCAATATTAAGGCAAATAATTCGTCACTTTTAATATACAAGCAATGAAACGGGCAAAAAATCAAGGCATTATTCCAGCACTGACTTCTGACATTCACATAGTTGGCATTAAGTTAAAAAAATTATAATTTTTAACTTTTATATGTGTATATCATTTTAGTGAAAAAAAACATGTTAAGCTCATATTTTGGCTCTTCCTCATATTTTGTAAGTTATCCAAAATAATGGGTAAGCTTAATCACAGTCTGTATAATACTGATGAAGATTATGTAATACCATAATTTGCATATTACTGATGGAGATTTTTTTAATCTGTCTTACCGTCTATATATGTTTTTGTCAATGAATATCTTTTTAAAGGGTCTGCTTATAAACTTGCTGAAATGATGTATGGGTATTCTCAGTGCAATTCCTCCATTCTTTTATGCATGCATCTGGTTCTGTCGTTTACTACTCCAAAAACTGAAAACACCTTTCTTCTCTTTGCACATGCTTCCAAGTAATCACATTAACTGTCTGTAAAATCTTTCATCTATGCATCATGAGGATTAAAATTTTATGTTAATCTTTCAGATTTTATTAATACAGTTTATATAATCATTACTTTTTGATTCATTCTTACACATGTCATATTTGAGGGCATCCAGCCACTAAGGATTTTTTTTTCCATGTATATTTTGCTTTTGGTATAAATTTGAAAATAATCACATTTATTTAATATAAGAATCAATTATGTTTTTATATTCTGTAACTTTGGTCATATTCATGAGATAAACGAAAAGACAAAATGGCAATTGCTATAAAAGCATCTTTTTACATGATGAAAGGAGTGTGCTAGAAAGTGGAGAATAATACATATACAGTATATTTATTGTTAATTTTTCAAGGCCAGAATTATTTTACATAAAATATGTATTTTTCTTAAATAATATACCATTCCTTTTGGTGTACAAAACATCTTAATGTGACTGTCACATCACCTTTTCACCATCACAGCACTTATTGCACTTCATAAAATTGCTAAATAGGCTGATAGGATTGATGGGTGAGTAAGCTTTGTTATGATATCTGTAAAATAACATTTACGAATTTGAAGTAGAGCACATTTATGACACTTATCAATGGAGGCTCATGGAAGTCTCTTATGTGTTTCAAATACTGCCTAAAATCCAGTTGTTTGATTTAGAATGACATTTGTATGAAACGTGTTTAAAAGCTAGTGAAGATTCGACTCTGTTTTCTGAGTGGCAAATTTTTGTGTATGTGTTGAGATGGGGAGAGCTGTCAGTAATACTTAATGCAGCGCATAAAGATTTCCCAGATTGCAGGAAAGGGTTTCAACAGCAAAAACAGGATATTATGCTACTTAAAAGGTATGGTGTGTATATATATATATATATATATATATATATATATATATAATATATATAATTGTGTACAGGAAACAAAAGATTAAAAAATAAAAAGTCAAGATACATTTCTCCATTGCATGTGTCCCTGACCTTATCACATCAACTCTGTTGCATGTTTTGCTACAACTATTTCTTGAAATTTTTTAAACAAGTAAACATGACCACTCTTCACTATCACTTTGTCTATATGTTGAACTTTTTGCCTTTTTGAAAGTGACATGGTAAGTATATTTCTCTCTGCAGTTTTTAATAAAAATATATGAGAATGATAAACATGTGTTCATGGCTTACACAAGGGAAAATGTGCTTTAGCCCACTGCTTAATGCAAATTTGGAAATTGCCAATTTGACGCATCTCCAGTAGATACTGTGTGGAACTAAGCGTTAAATAGTGGCATGCTAAAAGAAATATTTTTGGTTTACTCAGTTTTCCAATGCATTTTACTTCATTGACCGATGATGGCGTATACAGAAATAATAAAATACATAACAAATTCATTCCTACACTTTCAAATCAATACCTCATAATCTTTAGAATATTACATATGTTCAAATAATTCATTAAACCATTAGCCTGTCCTCATGATTTTATAAACATGCAAATTCATACTTCCTTCATTTAAATCCATTAACAATTTCCATTTCTTTCATATTTAGCACATGCTGTCTGCACATTTTGAATGCATTTATACATACAATCAAATCCTTTTTTGAATATCAGTCTAATACAGCTTTCTTCCTTTATCACACACTTTATCCAAAATCACAAAAAAGTATCTGTATGCTGACTCATCTTTTATAGCCAACACCTTTTCCATATTATGATTTAGTATTTACAATATACAAAAAGCCAGACTTCTGTTTGTGAAGTCCTTGATGAATTAGAATAGTAACAGTCATCGATCGACTTTAAATCAGACTGCTAAATTGTTTTATATATTCTCTCATCGCCAGCTAGTTAAAAGTCTGTCAAACTTACCAAACTTGCCTTTTCCATAGCAATTTTTAGCAAGTTTCATTGCCAAACTTGCCTTTTTCCATAGCAATTTTTATCACATCCGTAATTTCATAGAAATCAGAGTTCTTTTCTATTAATGCACCACCAGTTGCCAAATGTGGTAGCCTATCTATATCATATCTTGAAGAGCTGTACAGTGGTATCTCTGTTATTACATAATGAAGAATCTGTATATGTATATGTATATGTATACTGCTGGCACTGTGGAAAAATGACAGTAGCTGAAGCCACCAAATTTCAAACACACATAGACCTCCAACCAAATATCTGTACCTCGAAGCTTGAATTTTTAATTTGTCTTTTTATTTATTTCATCTTATGTGTAGACTTTATGAAATTTTGATGAACTAGCTCATTGATATAAAAGCAGTGTGTTGGTACGAGGCAAACCATAAGATATTGATATTTCAAATTTGTCCAACAAACTCATCAATTTAAAAAAAGTGTGTTACCACTACCCAAAATAAAATATTTATCCTCCAATGTGACAGTATGTTGTTGCTGTCCAGCAATAACTAATTGTGCAAGCAGTTAGTATATACAGTCAAAAGTCTTTAATCCGTACTTGTCGGGACTCGGCGATTCCGGATTATCGGTTTTTCCAGATTATAGATCATTAATTTAAATCTTGTAAGATGGCATGCAGAAATTATAAAATTAAAAATATGAAACCGTAATTTATGAAATAAAGAGCAATTATGATCTAAAGGGTATCAAAATTTACAAAAAAAAAGCTTAATATTTACTTGTTTACTTTATTAAACATTTCTTTCAACGCGCGCATGCATAAAGCATACATTACGCATAGTCGAAATTAGAAAATTGCAACCAGAAAACTATTTGATGTGTATTTGTGATATTTATAATGACGAGGAATTTGATTTAAGTACATCGAGATGAAATACTACATTTAGTAAGGAATTATAAACTGAATAAAATAAAAACATCTGCCCTGAAGATAAGGATAGTGCTGACAGATCAACTTCCAGTTCATTGCGCGCTGCGTCGTTCCCCCCCCCCCAGAGCAGCGTGAAATTGATAAACATATTTCGGAATGATTAGAGAATCAAAGGATATGCCTTTATCCATTTTTTGCAGAAATTCCACTTTTTGTTTGATGGACATCGGAACATCGGAACATGCTTTCGCTTTGTAGATCCTTTGGTAGCTCCAGAATTGGAAATTCTTTTTGACATAATCGAAAGTTCAAGCTTACTTTTATAAAATTGCTCCAACAGTCTGCAAAAAATAATAAGCCGGATCCAATTCGAAGATTAAGGAACAACACAATCTGCAACATTAACTGAAATAGATAATTAGATAATTTTAGCTTAGCTTATACCGTCCGTTATACATTAAACGTGCATGCGTAAACGTATTATGCACATGCATGGATGCATATGCCCATGCGTAAAGGTATGCGCAGAAGGTTTGTACCTTTGAGGTCCGGATTAAAGACTTTTGACTGTATAGTATTTAATGTACTCATTGCCAAAGCTGTCTGCAGTACCAAATTTGTGCAGTTTTGTAATTTGAGTAAAATCAAATCGCTGTGTACATGAGAACAATAGTTTTGTTCTTCCTGTATGCACAATTATATACTTTTACTTAAAAAATACCAGAGAATTGCACAAACCTGGCATTGTATAAAATAAATATTATATGCATTATATTATATATAAAATAGTTATTCTTTTCATGAAGCTTTATGTATTGTTAAGGTTAGTTAGATTTTGTGCCAGTATTTATGTTTGGCACTTAATGGTACCCATTTAAGAAAAGTATTAAAATAATAATCTATAGTATGGCATCTCTATACATGATTTTAAAGACAGTGCAGCATACCAGTTTTTGAAACAATGCTTAGTATCAGAAATATGCAGCTGTTCCCTTGTAATCAGGTTAACTTTAGTTACGATTTATGAATCTCACTCATTATGTAACTTTTATTTGCAATGAATGCTGACAATATAATGAAGTATAATGGAACTTTAATAACATGAAAATAAAAGCGAAACTAGAGTAACATTAAAATCACATGTACGTAGGTGGATCCAGGAAAAAAAAAAAGATTACCAGCATCAGCATTTAAAAAGTAATTATTGTGAAGGGAAGGCTTTATTCCCTGAGTGTAAGCAGATGGCAGTATTTGTCTAGCAACAGTTGTGTGGGTATGTAGAGTAAGCTCACAGACGCGTCCAAAGTGATTGAAATGCCGACTGTGCCGATTGCAGTTTTGTTGAAAAATTTTCTGTAAAAATTTAACTATTGCAAATAAAGCAAGGTGCAGAAAATTGAAATTACTTTTTTTCATGTAGAAGCATGTAATTTTTAACCAATATTAACTGTTAAATTAATGTAAATAGGAAATTCGAAACATACAAATCTAACAATATTTGGTGATGCAGTGCTATTTTGAAGATTTTAAAATTCTGTCATATTTGATCAGAAAGCTCACCATTTGCAATCTAATATTTTATGCTTAAATTTTTGGAAGGTATATGTAGAATATTAGTAGCTTTTTTTTTTTTTTTTTTTTTTTTTTTTTTTTAATAATTTATTTATTTCTAGTATGTATTTTTGAGAAAAATAGAGAGTGTAAAGTTGAGAAACCTTCCTTGTCAGAAGAATGAGAAACAAATTATATGGAACATGGATTTTTTCTAACTCTTAGACTATTCAGAATTTTAATAAAAAGAATTTACATATTAATAGTTTATTATCCCACTACAGACTTAAGTACCCTTTATAGTTAGATGCGCTATAAATTATGTTTATTGTATCCTTTATAAACTGGTAGGTTAGAAGCATAATGATATAATAAGTATATCTAAAAAAGTACGTGTTTGGCATAAATGATGCACATCCATCATGAAATCTCTTCCCTGAGAGAATTTAACTGTGTACTTTTATCTTGGAAAAATTTGGAAAACTGTAATTACTTTGATGTCAATATATTATTTTTCTTGTATTTTCTATGCTGTTGAATAATGCATTATAATATTTGAATTTAGAAAAAACAAAATTCACTGGGGAACAAATTGAAACTTTAGAAAATTGGATTGATGAACACACGAAAACTCTGCCACCACTGAATAATTTTATACTGCCAGTGAGTCTATGAATTAATTTTTCAATCAAGTGATTAAAGTTTTCATTTTAATTAATGATGAAATAAATTAAGTATTATTTTTTATTGTCTATTGCAGTCTGGTGGTCCTGGAGGATCTGCATTACATGTTGCTCGTTCAGTTTGCCGTCGAGCTGAAAGAAGGTACCTTTTTAAAAATTTTATTAAATAATCTCTTTGTAGCTTTTTTTTCATGGAATGTATAAATGACGATAAAAATACTTATCTTTTTAAAGTGCATTTGTAATAATTACTTTAAATTTAAAAAAAAAACTTTACAACAATTTAATGCAGATAATAATCTTAAATGTTTGACTTCTAGCTGATATAAGCAGTAGAAGAAATATCTACTCATTTCGTTTTATTTCTGATATATGTAGAATATTTAATTATCAGAAAATCCCCACACACACACTCAGTTCTAACAGAATAATTAAAAGTAAACAGCAATAATTACACTGTTTTATGTATATGTTTAGGAAGTCAGAAGTCATTTTACAATCTTGATAGATAAAAAGTCAAATGAACTTCCCTGAAAACATTTGTGAATTTAACACTAGAAATATAGTTAGGTTATTTATTTCCGTCACTTATATATGTTAGGTTAGGGTTTATGTCCTTTTCAGTCATTTGTAATAAGGTTATAGTAACTACAATATCCTTATAGTAACAAGGTTTTGCTCTTCCTATACTATACCACAAAGCATTTCATATATTTTTTATTATAGATGGAAAAGCAAGGTATTTATAATCAGTGGTGTAAATAGAGCTAGGAAGCCCCTAGCTTTATGAAAAAAAAAAGAAAAAAAAAGCATTTCTGACCTCCACTGTCCAATATTTTCAGCACACACACACACACACACGCACACACACAAAAAAAAAAAAAAAAAAAAAAAAAAAAAAAAAAAGAAAAGGGCAGAAAATAATCAAAGATTTTTCACCTATAAAGATTTTGGTCTGAGCTGATAATTAAGCAACATAAACATGTACTTAAGAGTGCCAAGTTGGAAAATGCATAACAGAATTTTTTGCAAGACAAATTATGAAGTGTTCCTCCCTCTCTTTTCTGTTTCCTAATTTTTAGGTCAACAATGTTTAAGGAAAGTAAAAATTGGAGCCTCGTTCCAGATTTCAGTTGGTTTTTAATCCAATATTGCATCTTGGGGAGGCCAGATTTTTATGAGATTTTGCTTTCATCGGGGTATGTGTTGGAAACTAACAAATAAATCTACAGAGAAAAGAAGCGTGCCATGTAAAATGCAGGATTAAAGGAAAACATGAAAAATATAAAATTAAAGACAAAAGCCGCAGAATTGCAGAATTTATGTATGAAATTTTCTCCAATCCAAGGTTTCTATGTCATAATTCTTTTCCTTCCCCCTTCTTTTTTTTGGGGGGGAGAAGTGACTGATTAAGTTACAGACATTCAGCATGATAGGTAAACATACCAAAAAAAAAAAAAAAAAAAAAAAATCATGTTAATAGTACACCATAATTTTCGTACTCATATAAATTATTCAAATATTTTCAAAAAAAAAAATATATAAATAGGAACTCTTCTTTCAAATATACATTTATATCAGAAATTTCATTAAAAAAATTTTCAACTATATAATTTTTTTATAAAAAGCTGAAATTTTCCCCTCTTTGTCCATTTAATTCCTGTTAATTTAACCTGCATTGTAAAATATCCAATTAATAAATTATTCAACATATATTAATTAAATAAATAAAAAGCTCCATACCTTTTCTGCAAAATTCAGGAAATTAAAGCAATTCTCTACAATTAGTAGATTATATACTGGTTTAGAACAGAGAAATGAAAGAATTCTTTGGTTTTGAACAGATTTTTTCAATTTTTACTACTGTTGGCAAAATAAAATGTATAAAATCAACTATTTTGAAGACTAGAACACCACTGTGGGAGTTGATATTCTGAGAAAAACACTTGAGCATGTTTTTCTCAGAATTCTAGTTAAGCAGTCAAATTTCCTCTTTCCATTATAGGTTCTTCATGAAATCCAGTTCTAATCCCATTCACTATCTCATATAAACAGAACTGCTTCCAATTATTTCCATTTTCAGTCTTTCTGTTGCATAAATATATTTATAATACCATGAATCTTTTAATTCAAATTATAATAAGGCCTTGCAGTTCCTGTTTCCTTGCATCAGGAAAATTTCTGTATCAGAATTATGTCATGAGATAATAATGTATTATCTGCATGAGTTTCTATAAAAAAATGCAAAATTTTCAGAAGGTATGAGTGTAGTCTTTTTTTTTTTTTTTTTTTTTTTTTTTTTTTTACAATTTGAAATTAACTACAACTGTAATTATAATGAGGACTTTATTATTCGTCATATTGCAAATTTGTATTAAATGTACATTCTCACCCCAAAAACTTAGTTTATATTTTTTTGTAATTTAATGTCTAAAAGCTAATGCCATAAAAAGGGCATTTGCATAAGGATTTGGATAGTCTTTTAAAACACACAGGACTCTCAGTGTGCTTCAGTAAAATGTTATCATGTGTGATAATGTTCTTAAATTCTAAAAATGCATAATGTTAAATGAAAACTGTTAGACAAAATGTAAGCTTTGAGAAGAGTTAGGCTTGATTTTCGTTTAGCATGAAATTCTCAAAATACATGCAAAAGTACTCAAATAAGGTACATAAAACAGAGAAGTTTAGGCAGTTCAGAAATGCTTAATGGTGTTTATTGATTAATGTTATGGGAGTCCCTCCCCCCTGCTAGAAGAACATTGTCTGTTTAGGTTTGCAGTTCCGTTTCTAATCGTGAAGTATATTTTATGTATGCAAAATATTTCTGTTTTGAGCATTACAATGTTGAAGCAGGGGAATTTTTTAACAAATTATATGAATTTAAATCAGGTTATATCTGTAACTTAATCATGTGTATAGGAAAAGAAACTTCTGGATTATATAAGGAAAGAGTTATTAAATTTTTACTTAAAAAAACTTTCTGCTCAGGTGTACCATTTATACATTGATCTTTTTTTTCATGTCTCAATCATTGGTGGATGAATTCTTTAGACTTGGAGCAAATACTTGTGGGACTGTTATGAGGAGAAGGAAAGAAATGACTTAAAATTGGCAAGATGTTGATTTTGTAGAAAAGGACATAAATGCAATTTTTAAATGTGACGTGATGCTTTGTTTGTTCAGATTCCAGCAAAAATCCTTCAAAAAGGCAAATGAGCTATTGTGTATGAAAGGATTGTAACATTAGACTGTTTAAATCTCTACTTTGAAATTTATCCCATTAAAAATGAATTTTAAGTAAAATGTTTAGTTGTCAAATGTATAATGTTAAAAGTCACTAACAGGTAAATATTTAGATAAACATTGTACTGAAATAATTATTGAAAAAAATAATTTGCAAAATAAAATCTTGAAACATAGGAAAAAACTTTAGTATATGAAGTATGTAAATAAAAAAAAATATATATAAAACATATACTGCATATGTACTCTACAGGACATTATTAAACAACACGTTCATCGTTCCATAATTTCATGGATTTAAGTGCTCTCCAGCCCTGGAGAGATGCTCGCGAAAGAAACAACCAGCCTCAGTGAAAATAGTACGTTTATTTAATTTTTAAAAAAGACCATCTTGTTAGGTCTTTTTTATTTTTTAGGAAAACTTACAATGTTTACCTAAATATATATAAAAATACTGAATTTTTAACTGTTCTGTGGTTTTGAAAGGGGATGTACTAAAAATATTAGTGCAGTTGATACTCATTATAATGACCATGCCATTACAATGGCTGATACAAAAAACCCGTAACTGCAAATTAAAGAAATTTCTGCTATAATGGCCACACATTGTAATTTCCTTTTTTGGTTTGATCCAACAAGTCATTATAACAAGCATAATCAACATAATAAAGCAGTTATAAAAAATATATTGTCTTTGATTTTTAATTATCTTAACATATTGAATGAGATTTTGTTGCCATTAAAAAGTTATGTTTAATATTATAGAAATAACGTAAGTATTTTTTTAATTAAATGAATTTGAATAAATATTGATACTATTGTGCATCACACAACTTCCTGAATCAGCTAATTATGGTAATTAACAAAAAATAAATGTCGAAACTGTGAAAAGGAGAATTAGAGTTTTTAATATAAAGAAATGATATTTATAGTGCTTTATTCTTTTTAATGTTAGTTAGTGTCATATTATATTAGAGTAAAGTACATAATTTAATTAGCTAACTATGAAAGGAACAAAGAATATATATCTGACAGTGTCCATAGAAGCATTATTAAGCTGTACCCTAAACTAACTCTTTTTTATATATGGGATGTGTAGCAATTTAACAAACATTTGACATGTGACGATAATGCAAGAACATTTCTTAGATCTCCTTACTGGGATATCTAATGAGTTACAAAAGGTCCTGATGTTTCATCCCTTTGTTTTTGCATCTCTTGTCCAAACTTGCCTCAAGAAACTTGGAAATTATTTTCACAATAAGCCTGATAGTGAAATTATCATGAGTGTAGAATCACTAATGGCTTTCATCATTAAGAACTTGAAAGCGTTCAATTTGCAAGCAGTTACCATAACACCATGCAACTTGTTTTGTATTTGAATGTGCTTTCAATTGACATTTGTGCAGCTTTGTTTCTATGCAGTTCCTGATGCTGCCTATTTGGAGCTACACAAAAACAAAGCTGGAATAAAGACTAAAATTTAAGAGGCTGAAACGAAAGAAGCTTAAGGGGTTCCCTATTGCTCGTATTTATAACTGCATAAAGCTCTGCATTTGCTTTTGTAAAAAGATTTTATGTATGTTTTTGTGAAAGTAAAAATACAAATATATTTTTATTTTTATTCTAAATTTAAGATTTAATCCTGTAAAGGTAATTCATCAGAACATCTAAGGGCTATCCAAGGTCTTGGGCCCGTATGCGGCTGCATTCCTTGCATTCACCTATTTATGTCATTGTTTATAATTCACACTAAGTTGCATTGAACTTATATCTATTAAAACACAAAATGCATTTCTTGCTAACAAAGCACTAAAGCAGCTTCATGAGAAACTTGAAATATGTAAATTAAGTGCAAGTATCAAAATCTATGAATATATAATAAATGTAGAATGTATAATTCCAATAAATTTTTTAATCCTAAAAATTAATAAAAATGCATAAGTGAATAATTGTTGAGCAGGCAGGAGACAGACTTATCAAGGGAAAGTTGCCTCCAAACCTAACTCTTCCGTTATTCAATTCGTTTTCCGTCATCCATGTAGGCAAGGGTAAAAGGAAAATTCAAAACCAAAAGTAAAACCAAATGTTGTGAATTACTAAAAAGAAATTTAAACAAGTGGAATTTAGAGAAATTAGCAAGTAAAGACTAGAATAATTAAAGTCAATTAAGAGTAGAAAACCAAAGTAATTTAGAAGCTCTTGCCTACAAAATACTTCCCCGACACGAATTATGCAAATAAATCAAAAAGAAACTAGATACTATTTATAAAAAATACATAAATAATACTAAAAAGGCAAGTAAACAGTAAGTCTTAATTTATCAACTATATTTGTACTTGGAGAGTGGAGCAGCATGCCAAACTAAGTGATGTTATGTAGTGTGTTTCTTCTACTTTATAAATAGAGGGTGCTAATATAAGGCAAAGTTGAGTGTTAAATTGCTATCTGTTAGTTCTATTTTAAAAACCTATTCTGTAAACTTTTAGTAATGTAAAATGTGTGTACTGTTACAAAATTTTTTTTCGTAACTGTGAAATATTGTAAAAAATTGTAAAAATGCTAACTGTAACAAAATGTGAAAAAATGGTTGCAAATTATTAAGGATTGTAAAAAATCAAAAATGTTTTTAAAATAAAATTAATTTTAATTTTGAAATTTTTTTAAATGTTTTAATAAAAGTAAGAAATTTATTGTAATAGTCTTAATTTATTAAAACTGAATTTCAACACGTTTAATCAAAACTTAAACTGGCCAAAAAGTAAGGAAAAGTAGAAAAAGATAAAAATCTTCACTCATTTCGGGCTATAATTGAGATTTTTGAAAAGAGTTGGCTCTTCGTTAGTAAAAGGAAAGAATCCAGTATTGATTATATACATTTTTACAAATATTTACAAGATAATCCCTTAACTCTTCAATATCCTCCATTACCCAATTGAAAGAAATCGAAAGATATCCAGTTAAGGTAATGTTATCATACCATAAAGAGTAAAAAAATTATAAAGCTAATTCCTGCCTTTTTAATATATAAATTAATAAATCGTGTTGGGACTTGGTTATTAACTTGAACATTAATTGGCTTTATTATTTCTTCCTTGAAATCTTCTATTTCAGTACATATATTTTTTTATATTGATTATTTGGCTATAAAAAGTGTTACCTATTACTTTGCTAGAGATATTATTCCAATTAATTAGTTTAATAGTATTAAACTGGAAATTCCTCCTTTTATCATATAATTTAATTTTGCTGTGTTTAATTATGAATAGGTCTAGGTATTCAATAGTATCTTGATTAGTATTAGTTTTATTAAGTGTTAAACTATTTGGGTAAATTTTGAATTGTTCAAAAGCAGAATTATTATTGAAAGTTATAATATCATCAATGTATCTAAATGTATTTGCAAATAACTTTAATTCATTCTTATTCAAACTTAGTTTGAGTTTATATTCATAAGCAAAAAGAGATAGGTTACATATTTGTGTGGAACTGTTTCCTCCCATTGGTATTCCTCTCACCTGCTGAAAGATCTTATTATTGAATTTAATGTAGTTATTAAATAATGCACAATTCAGGTAAGTTTTCCATCTTTCAATTCAAAGGATATTAAGCATGTCAGGAAAAAGTTGTGGGAGTTGCATTAAACTAGTAAATATTTCTTCTAATCTTAGAGAAGTATAAAGGTTTTCAAAGTCGTAGCATTTAATGTTCCTGATTTCTAAACTTTTAAATTAGTTGAGAACTGGAGCATTATTATAAATAATCCAACTATAGTTGTGTTGTTTGTTAACTAGTTGATGAATAAAAATACAGATTTTTTTAAGTTTAATTGCAAATATGTAATCTATATTCTTTTTATAATTATATATACCATTTGTTACAAATCTAAATTTGAGTGGTGATTTATGGAATTTAGGAAGAACATATAGATTTGCTAATCTGTTCTAGTTAGATGGTTGTGAAATTTGTAGTTTCTTATGAATGGCTTTTAGCTTTTTTGCAATGACACTTTCTTGTGTATTGGTAGTTTGTAAGTAATCCACTTGTTTAAATTTCTTTTTAGCAATTCACAACATTTAGTTTTACTTTTGGTTTTGAATTTTCCTTTTACCCTTGCCTACATGGATGATGAAACACGAATTGAATAATGGAAGAGTTAGTTTGGAGGCAACTTCCCCTTGATAAGTCTGTCTCCTCCCTGCTCAAGAATTATTCACTTATGCATTTTTATTAATTTTTAGGATTAAAGAATTTATTGGAATTATACATTTATTATATATTCACAGATTTTGATACTTGCACTTAATTTACATATGCTCTCAGAATTTAAATGATATTGTAGATTAGTTTGCAGCAGTAATTAATCATTTATTTGTAATTCAATTTCATTTAAAATTTAATTAACTTTTAAATTTGCTCTTTATAAATTGAGAATGTTTGTTAAGTTCACATTTTTTATTTATGTATTTATTTATTTTTAATTCTTGATTCTTGTGATTTTTTTTATTTTATCTATTTATCAGTTTTAGAAATTTAAGTCAGTGTTCTTGTAATTATATTTCAGGGTTGTGCCTCTTTTTAGAATGGATGAAATAGATGATGCTCCTATGCGATATTTAAATAGGTATTATTGAATTTTAACATGTGTATATTTATTTTGTTTGTATTAATCATTTGTAATAATAAAAATACCAATTAAGGTACTGCTAAAGATGCTTTTTTGCATACAAATAATTTAATTTGAGGACTTAAATGTTTAGTTGCATTGAAAATCCTCAACTTTCTTGTATTATTATTATATCTTTTAACCCTATGTCTACAAGAATGGAAGTTTTGCTTACATTTCTATGTGGATGGGTTCACCGCTAGACGTCTGCAGTGGGTTTTTATTTTATTTATTTATGTTACACATTTTGGTTTTCTGTATGTACTTTATCAAAAACTTAGTTTTTTTTTTTTTTTTTTTTTTTGTCTTTCAAGTCCTCCAGTATTTATCTTTCAAGTAAATTCTTATGCCCTCTCAGTTCTTTCAGACTACTTTACTTTTACTTAATTGTATTCCCCCAGAGAAGCATTTTGGATGTTTTGATTTAAATGTATATTCTTTCATTGCTCATGTTGTTCTTGATAAAGAATAGCTACTAGTCCTGCTCCATCTTTTTTCCTGATTAGCTGACTTTTTTTATATTTGAACTGAAGTTATATTATTCATTAAATAAATTATCTGTTTCATTTCCATACATTAAGTACTATATTAAACTGCAGCGTGTTCTGTATGAACTTCCTAATCAGAATAAATTTTTATTTTGCATATTCTAAGTAATATTTAAATTTTAGATTAGTTTGCCTTTACCATTATTAATCTGTATCTTAGAAATCACAATGCTGGGTTTTAATGGCAATAATTTATACTTATAAAGAATTAGGAATTAATAAAAATGTTTTCTTTTATCTACATAAGTGGTTCTCGACCTTATGACTAATGTGTACCATCTAAACAAAAAATGAAAAACTTAAGTACCACCACTACATTTTACAATAATTATTTTTAATTTTCTCTATAAAAACATTAAAAAAAATATACACTGCCATTTGCACGCCCTATTGGCTTTGTATTTTAAATATGCACACATAAAAAATATTAGATTAAAAATTGGCTACAATTTGATTTATCAAAATTAAATTATGACACTTAATTCTAAGATTGCCGGAACATAACATAATTCAATCACTTTTAAAGCGAAAAATGCCCAGGTTACCAAAAAGAATAATAACACAGTGCTTACCAAGCCAGGTAAGAGAGTGGATATATATATGTTTCTTTTAATTATATTGTTGCGTGCGTACGGGTTCGTTATGAAATGAATGCACAAGTCCGATGAAAAATGAACAAAAATTTATTATTATCACAACAAAAATGCTTAAATTTTCTCAAATTATCATGCAGTATCACAATATCTCACAGTAGTTATCTTTTAACTACTTAAATGTACAATAGAACGTAATTCAAAACAGCTAAAGAACGCTAATCCGCGAATTATCCTATAATCAACAACGGCAGTTTTCTAAACAACAACAAACTAAGCAACTGCTACAAACTGAGATGTTTTCCTCCTTTTATAAGATTTTAAAATCACGCGCTAGAATTTTCCAGTACTTTCTCGAAATCAAAAAGAGATATTTATTTATTTAATGCACGCGCTCTTGTATTTTCAATTTTCCGGCTTAGCTTTCTTTTAATATTCGTCACGCGCTGCACTGCGCGAGAAATAAAACCATTTAATTTATAATTGAACTAACATTAGCTTTTTAAATACTAAATTCGTAACACTGCCCCCTTCCCAAGGACTGCACGTCCCGGGCAGTACAATCCCTGGACAGAAGCTAAACTTACGACTGTGGCATAAATGCAACTGAGGCATAAACATTACATTACAATATCAAACAACATGAACAATAAATGCAATAACTAACTTAAACAAATCAAATACTATCAAATACTAAATACAAAACAAATCAAATACACATTTAAAAACAAAAAAGGACCATGGTCTGATACTATTTACAATTATTTACATTACGTACTATGGCCATAGTAATAAGCTAACCTGTCGTAAGAGTTGGAAGACTCACGGATCCGAACCACGACGTCATTCGTGTTCAGCACTGTATATGGACCATCCGAAGGTGACTGTAATTTAGGACTCAGTCCTTTTCGTTGAATTGGGTTCCACAACCACACCTTGTCTCCTTTGTTGGATTTATGTCCAATAGCTCTCGCGTTGTATCTGGTCTTCACTTTCTCCGTCGCCAAGTTCACTCGCTTTCGTGCGGAACGGTGCATCACTTCAAAACGGGCCTTGACATCTTGGATGTGTTCCTCAGGCGATGAAGGCGCATCCGTACAGCGATGAAACAGGCGGTCACAAGGCAGACGAAGGTCTCGACCGAAGAGCATCTGAGATGGAGAATAGCTGGTAGTCTTGAGTTTCTTTTCGACCCTGGTATGATTTCGGCAGCTTCCCGAGCTCGATCTTTCGGACAAGGCGTCGACATTTCCAGGCGAGGATCCCTTTTGAGAATGGATAGTCATGCCATCAGATGCTGAAAGCAGCTTATTGTTTTTGAAATCTAAGGAAAAATTGTACTTCCTTAAAAAGTCCAATCCGAGTATGCATGGATCTGTAATATCCGCCACATATGCCGTGTGATGGTAGGCGGCACTTCCAAACGTGATGTTTACGTTTAACTTCCCAGTTATGTCGATCTTGTCACCAGACGCAGTCTGAAGGGTAACACACAGGATGGCGTCCAAATAAGTTTTATCTTTAAACTGTTCAGCTAAATCTTTCCTAATAATGGTAACATTAGCTCCTGTGTCAATGATCATATTGCAAGGAACTCCATCGATATTCCCATTGATGGACAGTCCGTTATTGTTGCCACTCACTATAGAGATCTTAAGCGCTTTAAAACAGGGTTTTTCATTATCTGGCAACCTCCGTTCCTTGATATGGTCATTAATTTGTTTCCTGCGCCGTTGCTCAGAAATTGTCTCAATTTTCGTACCCTGGGGTGTTCTGCAATTCTTTCGTACGTGGCCTTCAGCTCCACAGTTCCAGCACTTTGGTTTCTTGTCAGTCCTTTTCCTTCCCGTGGCATTTAATTGTCTGTTTTTTTTAAATCGTATATGCCTTATTTTCCGTGCTCTGGGGAGTTCTGCAGTTCCTTCGTAGGTGGCCTTCAACACCGCAATTCCAGCACTTTAGGGTCGGTTTTTGTTTCACCCACTATTCCGTCTTAAAGCACTCACTGGTCTTGTCAACTCATCTGTTTCATTATTCGTGCCCTGGGGTGTTCTGCAATGCCGTCGTAAGTGACCTTCAGAACCACATCTCCAACATCTTACAGCCACTTTCTTCTCACTGCTACTCCGTATCAAAGCATCGACTTGTCTGGATAAATCATCTAAACGAGCCATCAATTGGTCCCCTGGGTCGTGGACTCGCACAGCTCTGACTGGGTAGCGGTCTCGACGAGTGGCTTGCTGGGCTGCCTCAAATTTCATGGCGTACACTAGAGCACTTTTTAAATCTTTTACATCCGCCATTCGTAGAGCTTTCTGTATTTCAGTATCTCGGATGCCGTCGATAAAGTATTGCAAGGACAGGATTTCCCTTGTTTCTGTCGGGCATTCCGAAAAAGGCGAGATGGGACAGCCTTTCAACATCCGCGGCGAGCTCCTGAAGTGTTTCGGTAGGCTTCTGTTGACGAGATTTAAATTGGAGCCTGCTGTAGTCTTTTAAACACTTCTCCCCAAAGCGCAACTCCAAGGCGCCGTACAGAGCTTCGAAATCTAACCTTTTGTTTTCGGGAAGAGCCTGAAGGATATCTGCTGCGTCGGCTCTTAGAGAAGCGGCGAGATGACAGGCCTTAGCTTGGGAATCCCATCCATTCGCATCCGCCACGATAGAAAATTGTGTCTTATACACCTGCCAGGAGGTCTTCCCATCATATGTCGATAGCTTCAGAGGTGGACGAGCAGGCATTGGTAAGAGTTTAAAATCATCACTCCTGCTCCCTGCTGACGCTACGAATTTCTTTAAAGTATCCATTTCTTTGGCAACTGCAGAAACTCTCTCATCAATTTGTTGTTCGATTTGGTGTTGGACGGCACAAACTCTTCCTTCAATTCGTTCCTCCACAGCAGAAACTCTCCCTTCTATATGTTCTTTTACAGAAGAAACTCTTTCTTCTATTTCTTCTTTCACCGAAAAAACTCTTTCTTCAATTTGATCTTTTACAAAAGAAACTTTTTCTTCAATTTGTCCAACTTTATTTTCAACTGTGTCAATTCTGCCTTCCATAGCTTCAAATTTATTTTCTATTATGCAGGTAATCTCTCTTTTCATTTCTTCTTGACTTGCTTCAATCTTTTCTTGACCAGCTTGAACGGCTTTCATTTCGTCCTTAACAGATTCCTGGCCCAATTTCATTTCTTCCTTAACGGAGTTGATGGCCCCTTCCATCTTTCCTTGGCTAGATTTCATCTCTTCTTTCATTTCTTCTTTAAACGAGGCAAAGGCTGTTATCAATTGCCTTAATTGCTCTTCCATCGCTCTTGTTATTGGCATTCAAATCCCACTTCTGACACCAAAAATTGTTGCGTGCGTACGGGTTCGTTATGAAATGAATGCACAAGTCCGATGAAAAATGAACAAAAATTTATTATTATCACAACAAAAATGCTTAAATTTTCTCAAATTATCATGCAGTATCACAATATCTCACAGTAGTTATCTTTTAACTACTTAAATGTACAATAGAACATAATTCAAAACAGCTAAAGAACACTAATCCGCGAATTCGCTATAATCAACAACGGCAGTTTTCTAAACAACAACAAACTAAGCAACTGCTACAAACTGAGATGTTTTCCTCCTTTTATAAGATTTTAAAATCACGCGCTAGAATTTTCCAGTACTTTCTCGAAATCAAAAAGAGATATTTATTTATTTAATGCACGCGCTCTTGTATTTTCAATTTTCCGGCTTAGCTTTCTTTTAATATTCGTCACGCGCTGCACTGCGCGAGAAATAAAACCATTTAATTTATAATTGAACTAACATTAGCTTTCTAAATACTAAATTCGTAACAATATGTATATATAAATATATACACACTGGTGGACAATTGCTGAGGATGGATCACAAATGGCTATGTACCACATTAAAAAGTAAGTGTGTTTGGTGCCAATGCCATAATACTAGGACATAATAAAGATAATTTATTGTGTTATGAAATCTAGAAGGCTTTGAAAAGTGCTCAAGGGACAGAATGGTCATATTGTGCTGAATATTTAAAAGTGAAAAAAAAAATATATATATATATATAATGCAATTACCATCTGCCATGGAAGGTAATGTAAGATTCCACACATCGTGTTATACTTTACACAACATTATTCTACAGCATCTAGAATAATTTATCTCATTTCTCTGCCAGTGCATGGATAAGGATATCCTTCCTGACTAGGGCATTGTGGACCAGCAACTCTTCTACAAAGCATCTCAAACATTTTCAGTGGTATTCAGATCTGGAGAACATGTTGAATATCCTCACTCTCTAGACACTCTGGATGTGACTGTTCAATGGCATGTTGTGTTGTTGTCTATGAAAACAAATTTATCACCGACAGCATGAAGCATGGTATATAATTGGAAAATCATATTAAAAAACTAAAACAATATTCAAGAAAATATTTATTATTAATAAGATTTAATGAGTTGTGTTTTAATTTCTGCAAAATGATGAACATATATTTTGTGTAGCAGCAGATTTTTTCCACCACTTCACAGAATTTTTTTATGTAATTATACATTTAAAAATTTGAGATTTTTAAAAAACAAAAGAAGAAAGAAAAAAGGTGAACATTTGTTGACAGACTTCGTACCTTTTTACAAAATAGTGTTAAATAAAAAGGGTAAAGAGGGGTGCAAGATATGGATATTTAATAGTTTAATATAAAATATTATGAAAAAGAGTGTGTCGTTTCATTAGAATATATGTTTTTAATTTTGACACCTTTTTTTTTTTTTTTTTTTTTTTTTTTTTTTTTTTTTTTTTTTTCCCCCAGGTTAAGTGATTATCTTTTCACTGTGGCAAGAGTAGCAGGGTTAGCTGCTGGACGTGAAGAATTTATATACTGGCAACCTAAACCTCGTTCTAAGCAAAAGAATGAATAGGATTAAATTTCCTTCTGAATATAAAATTTGATCTGCTCTTGTGAAAAAGATCTGGTGTGAGAATAATATGAATCTCATATTCAACAAATTCTGTCATTTTTTTAATATATAGTTTTGTGAAACTTATAATATATAGTTTTGTGAAAAAAAAATCGAATCTCATATTTTTATAGGCCATAAAATTTTGTAAAAGATCTGATATTATAGTTTTCCTATACTACAGGTTCCAAGATATTGATTTATATTTACATGTATTGTTCATTTATATTATGTTATGCAATATTTTTTATAATATGAAACTGAAATATTATCTTTGTAATTTTATACAGGATTTATAATCTGTTAACTCCTGGATTGGATTATTCTAACACTATTTAGTAACTCTTTTAAAAATAATATATATTTTTAATGCAATTTTTCTATTCCATTCCCTCCTCAGATATGAACAAATCATAACTATTTTAATATGTTTAAACTGTTAAAAAATACATTTTTGTGGCACAAAAATAATAAAACGTGTTGTTGTTATGTTAGTTTTCCACCTGTTTATTTAGATCTGTTACCAGAAATGATTTTATTTATAAAATTTGCTTATTATGATGAGGGAAATTTTTTTTTCCTGAGTAATAAAGGGATAATAAGCACTTTTTTTTAATTGTATTGTGAACAAGTCTAATACCAATTAAATAATTAAACTGAATAAAGAGTTATTACACTTAAAATTGCTATGTATATCCACTGATTATTTTATTAAATTCTTTTCCATTTTCTGTAGCTGATTATATTAATTAGCATATAATTTTTATACTGTTGTATAATAGTTATGCAAGTCCTCCCTCCTGGTACTAAAAATGTACATCAAAAACACATTCATTAATTAATACTCAGACTTAATAAATTTATACATTTTCTACATTTGTCTCAATTAAGGTTTCTGTTTAAATTTTAACAGGCATTTTGTTATAGATACACATTTAATATTGATTTTTTTTATCATACGACTATGTTGAGCTATGAAATCAAATGTCAGTCAGTTTCATTCTAGAAGACGAGCAGGATTTCTCACTAATGCTGTGTATTGTACTCTTTTAAACTCTTTTAAAAACTCTTTTAAAAATAATATATATTTTTAATGCAATTTTTCTATTCCATTCCCTCCTCAGATATGAACAAATCATAACTATTTTTAATATGTTAAACTGTTAAAAAATACATTTTTGTGGCACAAAAATAATAAAAACGTGTTGTTGTTATGTTAGTTTTCCACCTGTTTATTTAGATCTGTTACCAGAAATGATTTTATTTATAAAATTTGCTTATTATGATGAGGGAAATTTTTTTTTCCTGAGTAATAAAGTGGGATAATAAGCACTTTTTTTTAATTGTATTGTGAACAAGTCTAATACCAATTAAATAATTAAACTGAATAAAGAGTTATTACACTTAAAATTGCTATTGTATATCCACTGATTATTTTATTAAATTCTTTTCCATTTTCTGTAGCTGATTATATTAATTAGCATATATAATTTTTATACTGTTGTATAATAGTTATGCAAGTCCTCCCTCCTGGTACTAAAAATGTACATCAAAAACACATTCATTAATTAATACTCAAGACTTAATAAATTTATACATTTTCTACATTTGTCTCAATTAAGGTTTCTTGTTTAAATTTTAACAGGCATTTCTGTTATAGATACACATTTAATATTGATTTTTTTTTATCATACGACTATGTTGAGCTATGAAATCAAATGTCAGTCAGTTTCATTCTAGAATGACGAGCAGGATTTCTCACTAATGCTGTGTATTGTGATTATCATTCTACAACACATGTTACCTTTACAGAAAAACTGAGCTCTTTTTAGTAGTGAACATTCCTTCTTTGGAGGCTTCTGTTAATCTATATGTTTAGCTTGCATGCCCTATAAAATTACTTATCTTAACTAATATGATTCTCAGGAAATTGAGCAACATGCTAAAATAAAACCTTAGACAGTAAAAGATTTCTTATCCATGTTATTTTCAGCTTGGTTTACATTTACATAATATTGAAAATTTTAATTTGCTTTCTAATAAGTAATTTCAACGTTTAACATGGATTCAAGATGCACTGTATGAGTACAACATACAATGTTTGTTTGCATATACATGTGTATTTCTGTAAGGAAAGTTGATTTCATTTGCTTACATTTAACACATATTTGGAAAAAGCATAATTCATTATATTCTTTGCTGTCCATAGACTGTGTACCATCTTTTACTGTATGCCAAATGTTAAAAACAGTAAACTGCATTATTGTAACAGAGATTGTCACTGCTTTTGTACCATAAATGCAGTTTATTGCTTTTTACATTTGTCAGATTAGTCAACATTTAAAACTTCAGGTGTGTTTTATTGATTTACAATTTACAATCCGTTTTGTGTAGTAGCTTGCACGCAGTGTGTTTATTTTGACCTCTAACCCACACATAGTTATTTCTTTGTGTTCATTTTTTCCAGTTAACTGAAGCTCATTTTTAATTTGGGAGGTCTAACACATTGTTTCGAATTACTCTTCTTGAAATCAAATTGTGTGCAGTGTACCTACCGAATTGAGGAAATGTTTTTGCGTTTTTAGTTTCATGCTGTTTCAACAATGGTAAGGCAATAACGTTCATGCTGTTTCTTAATTTCTGATTTAAAGTTAATTCTGATTATTTTTAACAACTAAAAGTTTTGCATTTAGCATTATTAACACTTATTTTTATGTTTAAATCATTAAATTTATTTCCTAAAGCATCCTGAACTTGTCTGTTTTCCTTATTTAAAATGATACTCTTTCATTTCCAATTGTAACTTAATTTTTAATGTGATTAAATCTGATAAATACAGGTAGATTTAAACATAAACATCTATCTATATTTTAAAACTGATATTCCTTGGTTAAGCTATAAGTTACAAAATTACTAAAAATTCTTCAGGCATTTTAAAATTAATTTTAGCAAGTTTATCTATCAGTTCAAAGAAATTTTTTAAGTATTCATGCATCATCTTATTAATTTGCATCTTTTTTTAGAAATTATTTCAGTAAACTAACTATGGTTGTAGATTTCATTGATTCATATATTTCATGTGAAACCAAGATGTGATACACTTCAACCATGCTTTTTATGTAAAGTTTTACACTTTTTAAATGCATTGTATCAGATAAACTTATGTTGAGATTATTATCAATTACTGGTAAAACATTTTGATCTTTCTGAACCCATATGTCAACTTCTGCTTAATTTCTCTCAATAACATCAATCTTTACAAACTGCCCACTAGTAGTTTCCCAAACTTAATCAAACCATTTAACATAAATCAAAACCATTTTATTAGAAATCTGTATGTTTCAAAATTGGGTTTTCTAACTTCTGTGTTTGCAAGTTTGGGTTCTTCATTTTACTTTTAATTCTTTTTATGAAACTAGTAAGAAATAATTAACTTTGTTTGCCTTACATTTCATACAAGAAATTCACTTGCATGATAAAGATATTACAAAACTCTCTTCATATATGATCCCTTTTTGAGTCCATAATCTTGTAGGCTAAGAAATATAAAAAGAAGAGTATCTATAGCTTTAGGCAGTCCTTAATACGACATAAGAGTCCTTTGTGTCTTCATACCAAGTGTGCAGTAAGAAATTTTAACATTATCAGGATTCTCATTCTTCCACAAACGTATTCTGCCAGCTATGAGAACTCTGATAGAGTTTGAAAAAATTTTTTACAGAAATGCCTTTATTTGTAAAAGTTCCGTAGTTATGAAAGGGAAAATTTTGTTTTTATGATAATAAAATGAATTTTGAGTTATATCACAAAAAATGGAACGATAAACTATTGTTTTATCATTTTTTTAATGTTAAATAAATAATTATAACATTAAAGATGATTACATTTGAGATTGTTACTGTATGCCAAGTAACTATTTTGCGGAATTGTTTTCTATTTTATGTAATTGATGCTTTAATGACAGTCACAATATTTAATTTTATACTGTTGAGTAATATTATTCTTTATAAGCAGTTAAGCATTCAGTGAGAAATATATATGTGCCAAAGTTATGGGTTTTTTTAAATTCTGAGAATACAAGTGCATATCTACTCATCATAAATAAATAATGAAATATATTTGCATATTTCTCATTTAATATTTTTTATGCTCATTATAATCTATAAAAAGAAAGTGAAAGTTATTTTTTATGTGTTTTGCATTTGTTACCTTCTCTTTCTTGTACTTTTGAAATAAAGTTTTATGATGTTATTCAGAACATCTTTGTGTTTTCTGTTTTATAAAAAATAGCTGTGTGTTTGTCCTTATACAGATGAAATGCCTGAAGACAAAAAACTTATATAATACCATAAAAATATTTTTGACAATCAATCAAATTTTCTCTCTCTTATGAGAGCTTAACTGTTCTTGTTGAGGGTCATAATTATTTCCAACTTATTTCGTATCAGTGTTAATGTATTTCTTCCAAAACTGGATATATTGTTTAAAACAGTGCTCTCAAACTGTTGGCTGCTTGAAACCCCCGAAGCAATTTTATGCGGCCCACGAATCCAAGTTTACATTATTTTCATTTCTATTAAAAATGAACATGAATGACATACACCATAAAATCTATAAAGGTAGCTAATTAATTTAACAGCATAATATAAATCTTATTCAAAGATTTGATGATAACAGATTTGACCAACTTTTATCCATGCTTGTCAAAATATAAATATGCTCTCTTAACATTTTTGCACTGCGAATAACTGCTTTCTATGGTAATACATTTTATTTGTATTAAAATGTGAAAAAAAGCTAGTGCCAGCTTTTTTTCACATTTGAAAACTGGTAAGAAAAAGAACCTAATTGACTGATTAGCATCTACCATGATGAGGATAATTTGTAGTAGTTTCTGTCGAAGAATACAAATTTTATCAGAACTGAAACACCATGTCAAGCCATACTAAGAAATGTAAAAGTCTAATTATTTGCATACAAATGTAAGCATAGTAAATAAAATATTTATGCATTGAAGAAAATTTACTAAGAGACTAAGTTGTCATTATTTATTTTCAAGTTTTGCCCCACTTTGAAAATTTTCTCAGAAAACTTAGAAAGCTTTCATAATTTGTTTATTTTAAATTGAAGTAAGTTATTTAGTAATTAATTAAACATTAATTATTTTAAGTAAATCTTGAAAATTTAATGTTTAGATACCAGTATATTAGAATAACAAAGGGGCGCTAACAAAAATGTCTTGCAGAAGCCAAACTTTAGATTTCACATAAAAAATAAATATAAATTTGAGGTTTTTCTTTATGATATTATTGTTGTTTATGTATGTTTTGATCAATATTTAATAAACAAACTTTAAAATTTATTTTAAATATGTTTTATTTTGTTAATAAAAATTGTTCAAAAGAAAAATATCTAGCAAATCAGCTGTTTTCAGATTATGCATCACCTATTAGGTGGCTCCATAATAAATAGTGGCCAACATCTGTGGATGGTTTAGCCCCACCATTGGGGGAAAAAAAAAAATCTGAAGGCTTTCAGATTTCATATTATGCCCAAAAGGGTGGGTTTTTTTTAATCCAAAGGGGCTTTATCCCTGAAGGACTATTATTTTCGTTTTGTGATTTTGCGTTGGTTTACTATAAATGTAGGTTTCACTTTTCAAACTCTTGCCACCAAATGTTAGAGTCCTGCATTGTATTTGAAGAATTTAAATAATGAAAAATCTGTCTAAATGTATATACATAGGTTGGGGCAAAAGTCATGACAACTATTTTTTTTCTTGAAGATACCAGTCCGGTTGGAAAATGTGACATATACAAACAAAAGGACAAGGTCTTAATTACATGTGTGGACAAAGAATAGCACTGAAATATTGTAACACACGAATTTATTATGGTAGTATACAGGGCAATATAGCCTTTACTGTGCAAAAGAATGATAACACAATACACATAAAGTTGACATGACAAAACGGGGCCTAAAGACCCTCAATGTAGTCCCCTGCTACTGTCACCACACGCTGCTAATGATGTGGGAGGCGCTGAATACCATCAGCCTCAGCATTTGCCACACCATGTGTGAATCGGGTCATCTCTTGGCACACAGCATTAGCAATGTCCTCTCATGTTGCAAATCGCCTACCACGTATTGATTCCTTAATCTTGGGAATGAAGATCAAAGTCACAGGGCGAAAGGTCAGGAGAGTACGATGGGTGCTCCAATTCTTCCCATCTCCAACGTAGGACTAGCTTCCGTACACACTCTGCTTTATGTGGTCTTGCATTGTTGTGCAGAATAATTGCACTGTCCACAAGATCCGGACCTTTATCCCGAACGCCACGTCGCACCAGGAAGTCCCTGTAGTACTGTGTGGTCATTGTTCTGCCATGAGGAACAAAGTGGCAAACAATGACACCCCTGACGTCATATGCGACAATCACCATCAATCTGACTGAGGAAGGATTTTAACGCTAGCTCATTACGCAATATCCTGTGGATGGTGCGTTTCTCCATGCCACTTGCGCTCTCTAACTCCAGTAATGTCCATCATCTGTCTTCTTCCTTGAGGAGCTCGATGATGGCACGTGCCAAGTCTGTCCGCATACTCACCGGTCATCCCAAAAGTTGCTCATCACTGATTTACACACGTCCTTGCTGAAACTTTCCTACCCACTGTGCTGCTGTAAGATATGGTAGGGCATTATTTCCAAGGGCTTCTACTAACTCACTGTGACATTCCATCGCATTTCTCCCTCGAAGAACAGCTATTTTGATGTAAGCACACTGCTCAACACGTTTTACTTCCATCTCGCACGGCACTCACCAACTGACCTCGCTACCACAGAGCCAGCTATCAAAGAGCCATCTGTTGTTCTGCATACACACTATGCCTGCAGAACTTCTACACGACACATATATGTTTTATGATCCATTCATATATCTACAAGAAAAAAATAGTTGCTATGACTTTTGCCCCAACCCTCCTATATTTCTCGCATTACGATAAAACAACGGTACATAGAGCCATTGAATTTTGAATGATGTAATCATTTCAAAGTGAGCAATGGCAACATTGTACAGAAAAAACATTTATCTCCAGCCCATGCAGTGGTGTAGCTAGGGTGGGGCAAGGGGGGACGTCCCCCCTTGCCCCACCCTAGCTACACCACTACACTAAATTCTAATTACTAAATTCATGTTACGAAATTTTAAAATGAAATGTTTTCTATTCTTGGCACACAGAAAGGGGCGGAAATTCTTCAGTTGTCCCCGGGCGCTGAAAACCCTAGCTATGTCTCTGAGCGCACGAGACTGTGTCAGAAATTCTAAAGATGTGCTCAATTTAAAACTATTTTGCGATACTGCTCTTGAGCAGAATTTTAGGGTTTAAGTGTGAAGAACGTGATATTTAATAAATAAAGGTAAGAGACAAAATGTTAAAAAAACGCCCCTTTGGACGTAAATCTGAAACCTTTCAGTTTTTTTTTTTAAAGTCCAAAGGGACAATTTGCCCAGAAAGACTTTTCGTTCACTATAAATGTCGGTTCGCTTTTTAAATTGTTGCCACCAAATATTAGAGCCCTGCATTATATTTAAAGAAATTAAATAATGAAAAATCTGCATAAATGTATTCTCGCATTGGGAAAAAACATCGGTAGCTGGAGCCATCAAATTTTGACTAACGTAATCTTCCACCGAATATGGGGATCTGGAAGCCCTAATTTGGAATTTGTTTTATTATCGATTTCATATTTTGTGTTTGATTAACAAACTCAACGACTTCAAAGCAAACAATGGCAACACCACAGAAAAAACAAAAATTTTTATCTCCACCGCGTGAGACTGTGTATTGGAAATTCTAAGATATGCTCAGTTTAAAATTATTTTGCGATATTGCTGTTGAATTGACTTTTATGGTTTAAGTGCAAAAACATGATATTTAATAAATAAAGGTAACACAAAAACGTTTAAAAAATGTACCTTTAAGCGTAATATAAAGTCTGAAAACTTTAATTTTTTTTTTTTTTTTTTTTTTTTTTTTTTAAGTCCAAAGGGGCTTTGTCCCTCAAGGACTATTGTTACACAAGCCAATGTTACCAGATATACTAGCAGAGTAATAGCAATTTGTCCAAAAATATTTTATTGTCAGAAAAGGCAATATTCTACAAATACAATTATTAAACTTCAAATGTTCGCTTAAAAAAATATAGGTAAATGAAGTTATGTGTTCCATGTATACAGAAAAAAATTTCATTTTGATAATGCATGTTCTTAAAGTATAGCAATTTATAAGGTATAGTAATTCCTATACAAATATGAAATCTGCATCTCCATTTTCATTGCACGTGCATTTATCTGTCATTTCTAATCTTTTCCATCTCCCATGGCATTGAGGAAATGCTAAAAATGTAAATCTTGTTGTCTTGTGATCAACACCATGCCCTTGACAACGATACCCTAAATGCTTTCTCATAGCTGCTGTTTCGCACACTACGCAAACTTTAGAACCTTTCTCCAGTTTGGGAGAAAGTTCGTTGCCAAGGCTTTCACAATGTTTCTTCACTTTTGTTACCTCGAAGACAATGCAATACCTAAAAAAGAAATATATATATATATATATATATAATGATTTGTGTACAATAATCAATAAAATAATTTAGTGGCTTTTATTTATGAAGATTTTTATTTTAGGGTATGCACTATTAGATAATAAAAAATTTTTGCTGGTGTTCTTTAGTTAGTTACGCTAAATCTCTAACAGAATACATTCAAACTTTCACTGCGTAACTAAGAATGCTTCAACTAACATTTATAACAGTGTTACCATCTCAAATATTGTATATGCATTAATTACTAGTACTCATTTTCATTAATATCTAATCTCAGAGTCAACATAGTGTTCATAATGATCTTTGATTTTTATTAACTGTGAAAGTTACTATTCTTTAATCATTGACACTAGTGCAACTAAGAACCCTTTATTCTGCAATCGTTCAAACGCTGAAAGACCATATTTTTATTACAAAATATGGCAACAGCTCTTGCCGGTTAGGTGTGATTTCTACAAAGTATTTATTTCTTCTTTGTTTATGTTTCCAAGAAAAATCATATCGCAGGACTTACGATCTCAACCCCCAAGCCCTTTTTTAAAGGAATGATTTAAGCGATCTTAAAAATCTTTTATTTATGTCGTAAATTATAAGAATGAATTGCTTAACAAAAAAGTGCTTCTAACGTTTATAGTATTAACTTAACATTGGCCACATAATACATTATTGGCCATTCATATGCAACATGATGAAGAACAAATATATCAAAATTATATTTCCTCGATTTGTCGGCAGTCAACGTAAGAGTAGGTCGCATAATAAGGCGCCTTTTGCGACCACGTGTTTCGGATTTTTTTATTATGTGTTACCTGAATTTGTGATATAATTTTGGACAGTGACTATAGTGATCGTGAAATAGACATTTCGAAAAGCTGAACTTGAAGAAGATTTACCGAACGAGGAAAATTTCGACTTGGTGGATTACACATCAGCACAATGGACTTTATTGGAAATCCAAAAAATCAATTCAAGCTTATTTGTTTTGCCAGCCAGAAATTCTTAAGTGACAATCCTAAAATGGAAAAAAAGTGCCCATCGAATGTTGGTCGAAGTTAGATTGCCAGACTGGAATCAAGGGTTAACAGATTAAAAAGCTCGTGCGATCTCTTACACTTTAGAAGAGTTTGATTATTTATCTCTTTAAGGCACGTAACAAATCTGTTGTTAAATTTAAAAAAAAAAAAAAAGTGATAAAACAGCATTTTTGGAAGTTGTTAAAAGTGCTGTAGTTGTCAGATGTCCCCTCGAATGCAACTGTTAGTCCTAGGAAAACCAAGAAGCGTGGTAAGGTAAAAAATGTTAGTTTTATGAATTTACCTTCCCTACCAAGACTGTTCGCCCTAACACAATTCTGAAAAATAGTGCAAGTATTGTAAAGAATGTTAACAAGTTTGATACATTGAAGCAAGATAAAAAAATAATGATGAAAATGTTAATAGCAGAGTTGTAGAGTTAATGACGATGGTCTGGATGTTTGCAACATAGCCCAAGTTAATGTGAATGGTTTAGTTTACAGATTTCATTACGGCAAAGCACTCGAGGGCTATCTCCTGAAGGGGAATGTCTTTGTGGAGGAGTTTCTAATGGAAACTGGCTCGTATAAACGTTGCACATGGGAGAAAACCACGAAAATGCCATGCAGTCAGCCCTTTCGCCGAGATTCGAACCCCAGACCAAACTACCAGTGTTTAACGACTTTACCGCTTGGTCGCTAGTTAATGTAAATGAAAATCCAGAGCCAAGCCTATTATCGTTATCTACCATTAACATTCAATGGTTTTGGTAAAAAGTTGAGGAGACGAATTCTGTATTTACCGAGAATCGCAGGAGAATTCCTAAAAATATTCCCTACTTGTCCTGGCAATTCCAGAACTATCACTCGACCAATTTGAAAACCAACACAATTTTGTGCATAATTCCTCTGTTATACCTAAAAAGATCGTGCTTAGAGGAATTTCTTCCAACTGTCTAGCAGATGAAATTAAAGATGAGTTACCCACTTAAGCCTTCAGTTGTTGAAAATGTATCCCATTGTATAATTTTAAAACCAGAATACCAATGCCACTCTTCCAAGTAAAATTAGCTAACATACATAGAACTGCGCGCATTTATGATGTAACTAATCTGCTCTCTTTTGATATTTTGGTAGATTTGTACAAACGTAAAGTCGGTGTGGCCCGGTGCCTCGACTGTAAATATTTTATCATTCTTCGGGCGAATGTCAGACTCCTTGATCCAAGGTGCTACCGCATAACCATTGCGATTTATTGGCTTTTCTTCTAACGTAATACGATACAAAGTCCGAGAACCAGAATCGTTGGGGCTTCGTTGTTTTCGGATTTTAGATCATCAGTTTGAATCTAGAAAGATGACATGTAGACATAGCAACACTGGGGCTTTTTTAGGTCAGACAGAAAATCTGTAACCCTCACAACCACTCAAAGGCTGAAAATGCGGTCGTGCCTAGCATCAATACAGTGTAAATCCAACGTATTGTCTTTGGCCACAGTGCGATTACCAATCCAGCAGGTGTTTGAAAGTACCATGCAAGAATTTCAATTAAAGAGAAAAATCTCATTTATGCCACATCTGTTTATTTTGTTGAGTATTATATTCTCCATCCCCCAACCTTGCAATGGAGAGTATGTGTGGGTGGGCTGGTGGTCCACAGTCCGACTACTGGTTCGAACTTTGTACTGTGTACATGCATCGACCAAAAGAAACTTCTGTTCAGAGTGACAGCTTAATAGCTAGAAGGTAAATTTCTGCATAGATGGGGTCTATTCTACGGTACTTCCTGTTACGCAAAAGTTTCGGTTTCTCTGCGTTTATATTAGTTTTCCAATTTTTACATCCAGTTGCAGTCTTGTGAACCTTTCCCTGTAGTCGCTGAGTGGCAGGACTGAGCCCTCGAGATTTGGATTTATCATCAGCACAACAGGCAGATATACAGTTGCTGTTCTCACCAAAAACAGTTTAGATATAAGGCTTTGGATATAGCTTAGATATAAAGCTTTAGAAGTTTTAGATACAGATCAAACAGAACACAGGATTCAGAATAGAGCCCTGAGGGTTCCTGCACAATTTTTCTTGAAGTCTGAGTTTGAAAAAAAATTTTTCATCCGTCAGACGTGAAATGTTCTGACCAACAAGAACGAATTGATCATTGAGTTATCTTTCCAGGCTTTTAATTGGATTAGTTAAAAGATGAGTCCCTTATGCCTGACGATGCCAAAGGTTTAGGCCACATCTAGCTTAAGAAGAGTGTTGCTTTGCTAATTATGAATTGAAACGCTGATATCCTCAATAGCCCACAGTCCTCGCTAGTCGCATAAAAATCAAGAATCTTTTGTAGAATCTGTACTGATGATCATGTAGTTTGATTATATGCCATTGCAGTCTGTTTAGAATAATCATTTCTAGAATCTTTAAGGCAGCTGTTGACAGGGTGCTTGGCTTAGTTGGCCAGGTCCTGTAGATCAGTGGTCTCAAACTCAGATTGCATGCGACCCGAATGCACGATCTGAAAACAGTTGACGTAAAAGAATTTTTTATTAATAAAATAAAATATAGTTTAAATAAATTTTAAATGTCGCTTACTAAATATTTATCAAAACGTACATAATCAGTAATACTAACATTCCATAGAAAAAAGTCAATTTGTATTTATTCTTTATCCGAATTACTAGAAATTATCTTCATCGCGGATTGTATACGCTCCATCTTTCAATTGGATTCGTATTAATTTTCATGTGTGAAAAAAGCTGGTCAGATATAACTGGGTTCTCAAAAGAAGCTATTATTCTTAATACGAACATTCATAACTGAGCTTATTTAATTTTTGACAAGTACGAATAAAAGTTTGTAAAATCTGTGAATAAGATTTATATCACGTTGTAAATCATTTAGCTCTATTTTATAGATTTTTTGATGCGTTATTCATGTTCTTTTTAATGGCAATAAAAATAATATGAACTCTAATTTCAAATAAGTAAAATTTTGAAATTTTCGCAGCGCCGTATTTACAATAAATAACTAAAATGTATTCGCGGGCTGCCAGTTTGAGACCACTACTGTAGATTTTGACCCGGTTTGGGGATGACAAAAGTGGTGTGTCTTTCTTAATGGTACAGTTAAAATACGAATAAAAAAGACGAGCATTAACGCTTGTAAGTCTTGAGACGGTATTGCTAAAAGCATTCTTCGGGATAACATTAGCAATTGTATCCAAATCTGGAGCCTTCCGTATGTTATGTTTCGTGATGATGTCTGTGATCTCCTCTGAGGGAACCTGAGGGCATTATCTTTTTTCATAGCTTTAGATTCGAAATCTCCTCGACCGGTTCTTTATTTGGCTGGAACAGCCTTTCAAGGTCAGCAGAAGTCTAAACCTTTTAAGAATCAACGAATGCAAAAAGCGGAAATTTTTTCATTGCGGATCCCAATCTTGGATTCTACAATCTGAGATTTTTATCTTCCTCTTTAGTTCTTCCATCCTAGTTTGTTAAAATTTGCTGTCGAAGTCTGTCCCAATATTTTATGTTAAATCTTATTTCACGTAGTTTTCTGTGCATATACTTATTGGAAATGCTAGTAATGGTTACTTATTAGATTTATTCAGAATCTCAGTCCAGCTATCAATAGCGCTGTCAGTATTCTTGAGATTGCAAATGAACAAGAAATTGCTATAAAGAATATTATGGAGCAGTCTCCAATCTGTAAATTTCTTTAAGAAGTTGGTCTTCTGAATCAGATTCTTTAGAGGTTTGTCATTTGGCTCAGCAGAATATATGGTCCAGATGATAGTAATGTGATTCGAGCTGTCGAATAGGTCCTCGATGACAGAGAGCTTCATAGCGGTGTTCTCTGTCTGAATGTAAAAGTCTAGTACATCAGGTTTGAAGAGATAATTGCCTACGGTTCTTCTTGAGTTTTGGGGTAGTGTTACTGGAGTACACGATTTGCATATGTGCAGCAATGAT